GAAGTGGGAAAGAAAAGTCAAGAAAATTTGCAATAGGGATAATTCAAAGTATAAGCAATACTAAGAGGCTAAAGCTTTAAATAATAAATGCAAGATATAAGAAGAAGAAAGCTTAAATATGGTAATCTAATATTCAACCTAGAAGTTGTATTAAAAAATCCTTGCATTTAGCAAGCACTCAATAGACATTTGATTAATTTATTGGTTGATTAAATGTGTTTTAAGTTCTAAACTCTTCAGCAGATAACCTGAAGCCTTGGTTCTTTGGACAGAGTGAGGGCTGAGAAAAACGTATGGTATTCTTATGGTCTTCTGAATAAGACTAGAGAGATAATAAACCGGATACTTGTCTCTCTCTCACTCTCTCTCTGTGTATAACCAGAGATTTTTGTCCAAGCCATTTACAGCTACGCAAAAGATCAGGAAAGGGATTGTGGAAACTTTTCTTCAAGTGCTTAATACCTGTATTCTCACCCATAAATATGCACACTGACCCCTTTTCTTAATAAGCAGGCACCTGAGTGCAGCTCCACCTGCTCTAGATCCATTTTCAGCCCTGAGGGTAAAGGGAAGCTTGCTGTGGAAGACAAGGAAAGCTACTGATTATTTGGAATCTTTTCTTCCAGCACCTCTTCAGCTAGTTGGATATTTTACGACCACTGTAACACAGTCTAGCCAGTTCTGGACTTCATCATCCTCTTCTGTCTTTCCATCATCCAGAGTGACTTCAGCCATTTCCCAGACCTATGCAGGGTGAGGGATGTTAGCCACTTTGAAAGGCAGCTCCGGGGATGCAAAAAGTATTTGAAAAAAAAGAATTACTTGGTGGCAGAGAGTACTGAGATCTGGTTTTTTTTCACTCAGCAGAAATCTGACCTCTGCTCTCTCCTCTGGCCTTGTTCTGAAAAGACGAACCACGAGTAAAACCACGAGTGTCTACTAAGACAAGACAGTGGAGGAGTGCCAGGCCCTCTGACCCGGAACGTCGCCTTCTGTTCCTTTCAGTAGATTGCTATTATGGTGTAGCTTTTAAATACTAAAGCTAATAAATCTCTACTTTCTTTAAAGTCAAAGAAATTTGAGTTATAACTTTGTAATTATAATTGGCAATGATAAAACCAGGAAGGAACCCACACAGCCCAGGAAGGAAGAATAAGATTCTGAATATCCCAGAACAACCTGCTTCTTGGTGCAATGATAAGAGATACATGGGCAAAGTGGACTTCCCCAATCCAAATCTGCTGTGATTTCATCTCAAGAACAATTCACTCCGAACAAGGAAGGACCAAGCTCACAGATTCAAAAGGCAATTGATGTCCAAGATGAGAGAGTGGTTGTCACAGAACATGAGCTCAGTTCTAGTCTCTTGATCCAAGTGAATTGTACTTCAGACTCTAAAGCAAGTGTGAGCATGAGTTCCTGTTTGGGATAATTAAGCAGGAGGTCTGTGAGTAGTTCACGGCGGGTGCTAATCACTAGGAGATAGCATGGGCTCACTAAGAACAAGTCATGACAGTGAGATCTTATTTTCTTTTGTTAAAGGCCACTATCTGGCAAGGAAATGAATTGAACAAAATGCCAATTAATAGGAAGTTCTGCCATTAGGAATCCCAAACCATTTCCCAAGAACAGAATCTGGGTCTTGGGAGAAGGAGTGAGGATATGGTGTAAGAGCAGCATGAAAGACTTACGGGATTTCTTTATTATTTTTTCCCTTGGCTTTTTTGAGATATAATTGACAAATAAAATTGTATATATTTAAAGTGTACAGCATGATGATTTGATATACATATACATTGTGAAACAATTACTAAGAGCAAATTAATGAACACAACCATCACCTTTTAAAATTTTAACTTTTCTTAAAACTTTTTTTTTGTGGTGAGAAAGCTTATCTACTTTCAGCATCTCTCAAGCGCACAATACCGTATTATTAACCATAGTCACCATGCTGTACATTAGATCCTTATAAGTGAGAGTTTGTGCCCTTTGACCTACATCTACCCATTTCACCCACCCCCAACCCCTGGCAACCATCATTTACTCTGTTTCTAGGAGATCAGCTTTTTTTTTTTTTTTTTGATTCTACCTATAAGTGATACCATGCAGTATTTTGTCTTTCTCTGTCTGGCTTATTTCACTTAGTATAATGCCCTCCAGGTTTATTCATGTTGTTGCAAATGGCAGGATTTCCTTCTTTTTAAGGCTGAATAATATTCCATTATATATATCACATTTTCTGTATCCATTCATCCATTGATATATCCATTCAGATATATACCCAGAAGTGGGATGGCTGTATCATATGGTTGTTCTATTTTTAATTTTTGAGGAACTCCCATACTGTTTTCCACAGTAGCTGCACCAATTTACATTCCCACTAACAGTGCACCAGGGTTCCCTTTTCTCCACATCCTTGCCATCAAACGTTCTGACACCAGAATATCACTTCCACACATTTTGTTGGTTAAAGTAAGTCACAGGGCCAGCCTAGATTCAAGGGGAAGGGAAACAGACTTGACTTCTTGTGGGAAGCAGTGGTCAAGTCACATTGCAAAAGGATGTGTGGAATGGAAGGGATGGTTGAGGCTGTCTCTGGAAACAATCTACCAATTCGTCTTTGGGAAAATTATTTAACCACCTAATTTCACTTTCTTCATCTGTAAAATAAAAAATAATAACATCTACCATTTAGGGATGTAGTGAGTATTAAGTTAAGAAAGTGTGTTTATCACCTAGCACATTGTAGTAGCCACACAACAGCAACAACAAGAACATGTATTGATTGAGCCTGTACTACATGACAGCACTATTCCAAGTACTTTCTGTAATCTTTATAGCAACATGATGATGCACATACTAGTATTTTCTGATGAGAATCCTTAGGCACAGAAACCTTAAGTAAATTCTACAAGGTTGGTTGCACAGTAACTATTCTCTCTAAATCATGAATGTCTTACTGCCTGCTACATCCACAGGATAATTCTTAGTTTTTTTCTCTTAAGTACTGTCAACAGTTGATGCTGTTGATCACTCCTCCATCAAATGCTCCCCCTCCTTTGCCTCCATGACTCCCCTCCGTCTGATTTTCCTCCCTCTCTGATTGCTACTTTTCAGTCTCCTCCTTGTTAAGCCACTTTTTAAATGGCAAAGCTCTCTCCCATTTTTCCAGCTCTTCTTTTCTGGAGGAACCTATCCAATGTGACAATTTCTACCTTTCTATGGACGATTCCCAGTCTCCCCTCTCTTCTAAACACTAGGCTTGCAATTCTAAGTGTCATCAGCGACTCACCACATATGACCCAGAAACTTCTACGTCTTTCATTCTTCCTCATTCCATTGATTGCAGTCTTGTCAATTAATACTTGAAATGTTTTTCAAATTTGGATGTTCTTGGCAATCAGCCAATGCCTTTGGCCTGATCTAGGCCCTTTTTATATTTTGCCTGGCTTATCAAAGTAGTTTCTTAACAGAACTTATCACTTTCAGTGCCTCTCTGACACAGTTGCATCAGTGTTATATTTCTACATGCTTTAACACACTCTCCTCCTCACCGTTACTGTAACAGCCCTGGCATCGCAATCTCTCCTGTTCCCCCTCCACCTTCACGTGTTCTTTTCCCTCCTTTCAAGGACCAGCTTCTGCTCTACCTCCCCCATAGGCTCCCTCTCAGCTGGTTACTTCTTATCCTAATTTCCCTAGAGCAGAGTCGACTCATCTTTTCACAACTCTCTGGAGTTATCTTTACCTTTACAACTCTGCATTTTCTCTGCTGTTCTAATATAAGGTCCTTGAAGCTCTAGCACCATTTACAGCAGGATCTCAAAGCCTGTCTGTTGGGTGAACACTCCATGGCATCCAGAATGACCTTTCTGCACAATATGATGTACTTACGAGATGTCCCTAGCAAGAGCACAATCTTATGGCTAAGGGTGCCAGTTGTAGGGATTCTGTCCTACTTGTTTTAGAGTGGCAGCCTGGACACTAGTATCATGTAAAAGCAAAAAAAAAAAAAAAAAATCAAGATTACTCTGCCTTCCCATGTACGAACTTGGGCAGGTGACACTTTTCGGAGTCTCAGGTTTTTCACTGATAAAATGAGGATAACAGTTATACAGACCCTGTTGGGTTATCGAAGGGATTAAATGAGATTATATATCTAAAGGGCTTGTGGCACAGTGCCCAGCACACACACACAAAAGAGCTCAATACTCCGTGGTTATTTCTGGGCTTACTGCCTGAAAGACTGAAGAGGTGGGTGGGTGAGAGGTGTCCTGTGTTCCCTTCCAAACATCCCAGATTCTGTGATACCCTTCGTTGGTGGGTGCTGGAGACACGCTGGCAATTCTCCAATCGGTTGCTTAGAAAACCAGCCAGGATCTGCGAAGCTCCGGGTAAATCCAGCGTCTTTCTCAGAAGCCATTTATTTGACCTTAGTTCTGATCTGAGAGCCTCCACCGTCGCCAAATCACCACGACGGTCGAAAAGGTCCTGCGCTTGGGAAATCTTTCCTTTGTTGGCGAATCTTGGACCCAAACCCCGCATTTGGGCGTCTAGCACCCTTAGGCCCATGGTTTATGCCCAGGTGGCGCTTTTCAAGTTCCAAGCCTGAACTCGGTTCTCCAGCTCCAGCGGGTGTGGTCCAGATTGCACCCTTCGCGCAACGCACCCAAGAACGTGCTATGGGCGCCCGCGGCGAGGGGTGGTGGGAGGGGGTGCTTGGTTTGCATCAGGACAGAGGGGTGGGGTGGCGAGAGCGCCCGGAGCGCGCACCCGCTCACCTTCTCCAAGCCTGGGCGCGGCCGCTCTGCGCGCGAGGACCGGAGCCGAGTTCCGCGCTCCTCCAGGAGCCGGCGAGCGCCCCCGGTCCCCTGCTGGTGCCCCAGCAGGGCCCGCCGGGATCCTGCCCCGGGGCGCGCACCCCTGACCCGGCCCCGCCCCCGGCGGCAGCGAGTGGCGGGCGGAGCGCGAGGAGAGAGGCGCGCTGGGCTGTGCGGCGCCGCCTCTTCTCCGTGCCGGGGGAGGGACGGAGGGGCCGGGCGGGAGAGAGAGAAAGCCCGACCGACCGGCTGGCAAAGAGCTGCATGCAACCGGTGGGAGGCCGGGCCGGCTGGGGCTGGGGCTCGGGCCGTTTCCCGGCGGGTCCCTGGCGGCGAGCGCTTACGGGCCAGAGGCGGCGGCTCTGAGCTGGCAGGCGGAGGGTTGTCTCCCGCGCCCGCCTGCCCGGCGCGGTCCGAGGATGCGGGGGGGCGATGCCCGGGGCCAGGGACGCGCTCTGTCACCAGGCGCTGCAGCTGCTGGCCGAGCTCTGTGCCCGTGGGGCCCTGGAACACGACAGCTGCCAGGATTTCATCTACCACCTGCGGGACCGCACCAGACCCCGGCTCCGCGACCCAGGTGAGTGCCGCCGCCGCTGCCGGGCGCGACCGGAGGGCCCTGGGCTGGGAGTTGGGGCCGCACCCGGGCCTGAGGCAGAAGAGCGACGCGAACTGGAGGGAGGAGGGGGGTGGCCACCGACCTAGAGGAGGGGATCAGGAACCAGCGCGCAGTGGCCTGATGCTGGAACTGGGCGGGGACCCCGGAGGAGGCTGCCGCGCGGAGGCCGAGTCCGGGTGGGCTGGGGCAGGGCTGGAGGGACCACGCCCGCCACCTGCGCTCCCACCGCCGGGGCTCCTGGGGGCGGCTCCCGAGCTCCCAGCTCCGTGCTCCACTTTCCCGGCTCTGCGCACTGGGCAAGGGGAGGCCGCGGCGGCCTCACGAGCAGTGGGAAGGGGGACGAGGCTGGAGGAAACTCTAGGAAGTTGGGAGTTGGGGACGGCCCCGGGCTGCGGCTGAATCCCACTGGGCGCTCCTCGTCCTCGCTCCGGAGCGCCTATTTCCCTTCCTTGGTCTGGAGTGAGAAAGGCGGGGCGGGATCCGGCGTCGGACCGGGGACAGGGAGCTCCGGGTCCTGGGCAGCCGGGCCTGAACCGGTTGCCTGCGGGTCGCTTGACGTGGAGGCGGCCTGGGCCTGGGCGCCCGGCTCTACCAGCTGCCACCGCTGGGCACACCAGGGTCGGTGGACTCGCTGGTCACGGCTTGTGCACCTGCAGTTATCCCTAGTGAAAGTTGCAATGCTCCTAACTTAGGAAAGTTCATTTATTTTGGCATTTGACCAATTAAGGTTGGAGAAGGGAGTTTTAGTGGAGCCATTTGCTTTCCCCAAGGGCCCTGGGTCTCCCACGTCTTCTCATTCACTGCTGGTTACTGGAAGACACATTCCTTCCAAATGTTTTCTTGAGATTCTTCTCACCTGGAGAAATAATTTTCTCGAATATTCTCTCAACCTAAGTAAATAAATAAATAGAGCAAGATATGTGGTTGGATTATTAAAGATGGGGTGAGAAAATGGCCTTTCCCCTGATAGTCCTGTGTATAAATGTTGGAAATGAGCAATTGCTGTGCAAATTATCCAACACTAATTTACCTCATTTTAAGCCAATCCATTACACAAAAATCCATTTACCCAAAGGATATATTAGAGAATTATTTGAATCATGAAGAGATATACACTGAGCCTGACTTAAATAGCATTTCATAGATAGTATATTCAAAATAGGTCTATGGGGTGAAGAGAAGTCGTCTGGTAAAAGTTTATGTCAGATTTTCCCTACTCAAAGGCTTATTTTCTATTGAAAAAGAAAGATGATTGTTCCCCGTTGGCTGGGGTTGCCTTAATTAAGTTTATCAGGTGATCACTAGTGTGTTACTTCAAAAGTGGAGAATTAAGTAGAGAAATACTGTTGATTCCCAAATGATTTCCCTGGAGGTTTCGTATCCAGCCTCTGTGTGGCTCATTGCTGGATGTGATAGGCGGCACAGACTGCAGACATGGATGAGAGAGCCTCATTTCATGAACTGGGGGCCCTGATGATGTCCTAAGTGGGGAAAGCTCTGTCCTTAAGCAGCAGGAACAAGAAAATTGTCAAGCATGGGTCACCCAAAGCAAGTGTTAGTGTTGAAACCGTCCCACCTGCTTGCCTGTGACTCCGCCTTGAGCTTCCATTGTTATCCCACGTGAGCAGCATCTTTGGCTTTACAAGAGAACACGGATGAGGCCTCTGGCTGAGTCGCATGTTTAACACTCCACATCTTTTTGGTTGATTTTATGCGTCTGCTCCTTTTAATCCACGAGCTGGATTCCGTGTTCTAAGGTTTTGCTCAACCCTTGCACTAGGCAGTCCTCGAGGAAGAATCACAGAGAAGACTCCTTGCAAGAGACAAATCTGTTTCCTTGGCTGAGAAATAGCCATAGACAAGAGCATGCCTTGCTACTCTCTGAGTTCCTGAAAGCACTGCTCTGCTTTCTTAAACTAGGGCACAGGGGTTTTGAGGTAGCCCCGTGCCTCCCTGGATCTTTGGTTTGTGTCAGGAAGTAGCCTGCACATGAGGCAGGAGTTGGGGACTGTGAATGCAAGATGAGAGGAACCGAGGCTGATGACAACATCCAAAGTGCACCCTCTCTTCCAGGGCACTTCAGCTTAGGCCAGAATCTCTCTTCACTTCCCTCCTCCCTCTCCTTGCCCACATTAATTCTTACATCAGATGCATTTGTCTCCATCCCTCTGAAGCTGATTGTCCAAGCCAAGAGTGGCTTTAATTTCTGAGCCCTAAGAGCTGAGTGGCTGGAGCAGCTGCCCTGCACAGCACTGCGAATGGTGCCCCTGCTACTGTGGAGTGCAGACCAGAATGACCATGCACGGCAGCCCTGGGATGTGCGTCCCCAGGGAGAGTTGTCTCTGCGAATGGGTGACTTTCTTTTCTGTAAAGGATCCCACCTGAATGCCAGGCTCCAGCTTTCTCTGTCTATTGTCCATCCGTGGCTACCCACTGGTAGCTAGTTTTGCTCAAGCTCGGTGGAGAAACTTTGGTTTTAAAAGGAGAAAACAGACGTAATTCCCTGTGGGAAGCAAAGTGACACTGCATCTAGGATGTTCATTTTTTCAGAGGTGGGATAAGCCTGGGTCACAGACCAGTGGGCCATCAGAAGGGTTATTCTTTGTCCAGGCAATTGCAGCCCCGATGTGGGAGTATGGCATCTAGTCTCCCCTAACTTGGTGTTAAGAGAAGATTTGATGAAAGTGTGATTTTAAAAAATGAAGCTAAGTCACTATTGGAACTAGAATGCCCTACCTAGTCCTTCATCTGTACCAGCTATGGAAAGTAAAGTGTTGATCTTTAAGCTGAGTATGATCACTTTTTTTCCATAGAGAGTGATTAGAATGCTTCTGGTAGGTGTCTTTATGTTGTCATATATTGGCCATGTGGGACATAAACTTAGGAATCTTAGAGAATAGCTTTCATGGCAGAGGGAAAAGCAAGTGCAAAGGTCCTGAGGTAGAAGTGTCCTTGACGTGATTCAGGGAGGAGTGAATTCAAGGGTGGCTGGAGCAGAGTAAAAAAGATAGAGAATGACAAGAAATATGGTCAGGGATGTGGGGGGTGGGGGGGTGGGCGGGAAGATCATGTAGGGCTTTGTAAACCCTTATAAGGACTTTGGTTTTTACTCTGAATGTGATATGAAGCCATTAGAAGGAACTGAGCAGAGAAGTGCCCATGCTCTGGCTGCCGTGTTGAGAAAATACTGTAGAAGATCAAAGGTGAAGACAGGGAAACTTGTTAGGAGGCTATTGTAATAATCCAGACAGAGGGGACAGTGGCTTGGACCAGGAGAATTGTAATGGAGGTGGTGAGAAGTAATCGGATTATGGGCACAGTTTGAAGGTACAGCGCTAGGATTTATTGATGGGATGGATGTGAGAAGTGAGAGCAGAGGAGTTAAGGATGAGTCCAAGGCTTGTTGACCTAAGCAACTCCATTTACTGCGTAGGGAAACACCTCAGGAGGAGCGGAGTGGAGTGGAGGTTCAGTAAAGATGTTTCTGTTTTATTGTTAAAAAACTTTTGTACATATTAAGTGTGTGATGCCTCTTAGGTAGTTACACAGTGACCCGAAGCGTGAATGTCTTCCTTAACATCATCAACCGGTCTACGCTCATATTTTTTGACTGCAGACTTCACTCTCTCTCCTCAAGAGGGCCAACTGATGTAAGATGTCAAAAGGTTTTTCCTTGTATAGAATTAAAAGCTGTCTTTAACTTCCACTCATTGATCTTGATTGTACTTTTTGCAGTCAAAAAGAATTAGTCTCTTCTCCATTACACACTTTGGCCGTTAGGAGGTAGCGATTTTAACTTTTCTCAACCTGTTGTTTCCGTATCTGGAAAAGAAAAGAGGATTGGATCGTGGGATTTCTAAGTTTTAATCATGTTTTATTATTTTCGTCATGAGTCTTTTCTTCTGTAGAGTGCCAAGCACATCTGTGCCAAGCACTTTATATAGGTCATTTCATGTAATCCTCGTAACGTCTTCTAAGACCTTGCTGCTCAAAGTTTTCGTCTGTGGACTGGCAGCATTGCAGCACTGGGAGCTTATTAGAAATGCAGACTCTCAGGCCCCACCCCAGACCTACTGCATATGAATCTGTGTATTAACAGGATTCTTGGGTGATTCGTAGGCACATTCAAGTTTGAGAAGCACTGCTGAAAGAGATTGGTATGTATGAACAGACTGAAGCGCAGAGAGCTAAATTAGCCCAAAGCCATGGGTTCCATGTTAAAAAAGAGTTGAATGTAAGTCAAAGTAGCTTATGAGGTAAGCACAGCAAATATACTAGGAATCTTGGGGTTATTGTCAATGAAAATTTCCTAGGTATTTTTCATAAGAGCTACCTTTAGACCTACTGTCTCTGTTCTGTACTTCTATAATGGATTTAATCTCTTAGTGTAGGTTAAATTCTATGCAGTTATAAAGATTCAGCTCAGTATTTTGGTTATGAATTCTTTTATCCAGGATACTGATTTTCCATTGACCTTTCAGCTTTGTATTTCTAGAGATTTTTCTTCATTTTCTGGTGAACTAGAAAATGTTCACTTGATCAGAGTGAAGCAGAGCTTGATGACACGTCATTAATGACTCCTCTTTTCAAGTGGATGTTAACCCTATTCAGGGAAAGCTTTTTCTAGACCAATGGTTTTCAGCATTGGCTGCACATTAGAAATATTTAGGGAGCTCTAGTAAACAAACAAACAAAAATAAAACAAAAAAACTACCAATGACTGAGATTTACCCTAGACCAATTAAATCTGAATCTCTGGGGGTGGGGGCCTGGTATCAGTGTGTGTATATATATATAATTTTTTTTTTTTTTTGGTGAGGAAGGTTGGCCCTGAGCTAACATCTGTTACCAATCTTCCTCTTTTTGCTTGAGGAAGATTGACCCTGAGCTAACATCTGTGCCAATCTTCCTCTATTTTGTATGTGAGTCACCGCCACAGCAGCGCTAATGAGTGGTATAGG